ATACAGTTTATTCCATTTCCAAAACCCTAAATAGAGTCTGGGAAAATGTAAAAGGTGATAAAGGCCAGCGACCAACCTCATGAGCAGCTGAATACAAGTTATGAACAGGAAGTACCACATGTTCATCTGTACGAAGGTAACTGCAGGTAAATCCTCCATTTTCTGTCATAATTACATTGCATGCTTAATGGTTAAATTAAAGGTTAATGTTTAAAGCTAGCTGTGCTTTGTTTTGTGTGTTTTAAATGTAGATATATGTTACAACTTCTGATCGCAATAGTTTAGTCTTTGTTTACTATGATCCTAGAGATCCTGATGCATGCTCAATAATCCAGGTAGAAAAATCTAAAATCCAGGTAGAAAAATCAGACTGAGGAAGTCTTTCGGATGAAAGACGAAACGTTTCTACATTTTTTTGTTGTTTTGCTTTGTTTGGTTTTTTTGAATGTCCAGAGGACCAGATTTAACTTTTTTATATTATGATCCTAGAGCTCCTTGTTTACAACCATAGCACCCTGAACACCCTCGTTCTCATCGGATCTTGGAAGCCAAGCAGGGTCACGCCTGTGTAGTATTTGGAAGGGAGACAACCTGGGAATACCAGGTGTTGTAAGCTTTTACACGTCTCACAAACCACATGAGATGTGTTGTTCAAGCCAAGAGCTACTGTCAGTACTGGGGGCTAAGCACCCCTAAAGGTCAGATCCTAGAATTGCCCCTACTGTTTATGTTTGTCCAATAGTTTATTTAGATTTAGACACATTTGTATCATTTTGGATATATATTTTTTTACTTCTCATTTTTTTATTGATGAAGTCCACATTATGCTGACCAGCTCTCCACAAATCTTTGGACTATAGATGGACTGTGGCAACAGTTGCTCCCTGAAGTGTCTCACTGGGCTACAACTGATGGTGAACAACTTGCAAACATAATTCGTGAGGAAGCTTCTGAAATGTCTTTAAACACTTCCAGAATTTTCGAATGCTCTTGCATGAGGCACAGAAGTCTTGTGGCGTGAACTTTGACTATGTCCAAAAAACTTGTGCAACACATCTTCTCGCACAATAAATGCAGAGTCCTTGAAAAAGTCTTAAATGCTTTTGTTGAAAGGAATCTAGAAATTTTCAAATTTTGTTTTTAGAAACTCAGGAGAAAAAGTGCTGCATTTGCATCTGCTAAAGTCACAAATGCTCAGGTCTAACCATGATGATAATGAATCATTATTATTCAAAAGGACTCATCCACATCTGCTTATCTTCATTTCAGGAAGGCACTCCAGTGGATGCTACAGTGGGTACAAAATGAGGCAATATGGGTATGATGTGGGCGGAGGAGGGGCAACAAAATGTCATTAACAGTTATTCCAAGTTTGACCATGACAATGGGTCATAATAAACAAAACTACACAAACTAAACTGAGGTAAAGGATTTTTTTACAACCTCTACTTTTTTAATTTGATCTCTGGCACCTGGCATGCTCTGTACAGGATGTATGGTTGGAGGTACAGTGGAGTCCCCAAATGCAAACAAAATTGTTTTATAAATTAATTTGTCCAAATTTTGTTCAAAACTGCAAATAATTTCTCAAAATGCTGAATGAAGTTGCATAATATGTTTTTATACTCTATTGTAGTTGGTTCAACACAGTAATCCTTTTTTTTTTAACATAAGACGATCTGTATTTTTATTAGCTTTTAAAACTATGAGATCATTATGCATGTTTGTGTCACGGTCAGCGGCCCCCGCTGCCCCTCCCCATCTGCCTAAGCCTCTGCCTTCTCCTTCAAGCTGCAACCAGGAACCAACTGTCACGGTCAGCGGCCCCGCTGCCCCCCCATCTGCCTAAGCCTCTGCCTTCTCCTTCAAGCTGCAACCAGGAACCAACATTTATATCTTCAAACAATCATCCCACAAACTAAATCATTTCCTTCCATTTCTAGGTTCTGTCTCTGTCTGCTCTTTATGTTTTTGTTGTTCTGCTCTGTGTGTGATTTTCTGTTTATCTGATTCTGTTATTCTCCACTCACTCCTCAGTCTGCCTCTCCACTCAATCTTTATCATTCACACCTGTCCCTCATCAGCCACCTGCCCAGGTGCTCTCGTTACTCACTCTCCCTCTGTCTCATAAAAAGCCTGTCTCTCCTTCACTCCTTGTCCGGTGATTGTTCTGTGTTCACAGATTTCTCAGTCCTCCTCTGTCTTGTCAGTTTTTGTCCCTCTGATGATCTGCTCTGCCTAGTTTCTGATCCTGTCTGCCAAAGTAAGTTTTGCTGCACCGACAGCCTTTTGTTTTGTTATTTAAAATAAATTTTTATTTTAAACTCCTGCCTCGCTCGCCTCCCTGCAATTGGGTTCCAACCTCGAGGATCGTGACATGTTTGTGTTTATTTATGCATATTTTGTGAGGGCAGCTACTGAATACCTCTGAGTTTTTATCACATCACCCAAATTAGATAAATGTATTTTATTGCATCATGATGTAATGTCGTAAAAAATCTTGTATTTTGTTTTCTTTTATTGAAGCGTATCAAACAGTACCATGTCATCTCATTCTGTATTGTCAGAGTCAGAGTCAGAGTCAGAGTTTCTTTATTGTCATTCGCACCTCATGTGGTACATGTGGTGGAGCGAAATTATGTACACAGGGTCCCAGTTACATCCAACAATAAAATGTATAAGAAAAAACAGTAATAACATCTAAGATATGAACTAAGAAAAACATCAACTAAATATACACTAAGCACTCATAACATAAAACATTGAACATCACCACAAACATGAACATGAGTCTGTGAGCAGATGTGCACGCATGAACACATCAACACTGAAACAGATCAGCAGCAACATGATATGGTTTTTCACAGTGATTATTCTAGTTAGAGATTCATGAGTCTAACAGCCTCAGGGTAGAAGCTGTTCCTCAGTCTAGTGGTTCTACACTTAATGCTCCTTAACCTCCTTCCTGAGGGGAGTGGGGCAAAAAGTGTGTGTGCTGGGTGGGTGGGGTCCTTCATGATGCAGGTGGCCCTCTTCCTGCATCTGGAGGTGTAGATGTCTGTGATGGTGGGGAGACTGATTCCGTCATATTTTATAACCTTTGTTCCACTCTTAATGTGCTACCTCACTGGACTTCAAGTAGTAGAGAAAAGGGAGACACTCAAAGCTGCAAGAAATTAAAAAAAATATATATATATATGTTTCAGTCCCACTTAGTTGTGAGATCTGACGCCTGTGGGACAGAAAACATATTATATATATATATATATATATATATATATAATATAATATATATATATATATATATATATATATGTTTGTATGTCAAAATCTGCTGTGTTTGAATCAGTGTTATCAATCCTCTACGTATTAAAAAGTGTACTCTAGCTGCAGACTGGATCATAACTGTGGGGCAGCTGCTACAGTGGGTCAACACTCAGAATTCAGTGAGACTGCAATGAAAACATTTCAGGTTTCATCAAAGTTTCCATCAGTCACAGCCCAGTGAGCTCCAGACTTCCTGCTCAAGAATCACAGAAAAAATGCTGGGAAGAGTTTAGGACACCCACAATGGCTTTGTGACTATTTTAGGAGAAAACTGGTTGCACAAACATTTTGAAAATGGCCAAAGTTCAAACTACAACATTGTCTCTGTGACTCATTTATTGCCCCACATCACAGAGCGAAAAGGGGGAATTGGAAATATCTTCCATCTGTCCGTCCATGCATGATTTGAACATAACTTGAAACATAAGTGAAGTACTGACTTTCATTTTGGTGTGTGGCTACATCTAGGCGTAAGAAAGGTCCCTATCAAAAACTGGGTTGTCACGTCAAAATCAAAGATGGCCACCACCATACATACAGAAACCAGCCATCCCAGTTATTTGAAGAGATTATGCTTTCTAGTTTTTATATTGCTTAAACTTATAGTTTTCTCAAATGACCGGGGTGGCCAAAGATTAATCTGCGATGGCCAAAGCCACCACTGGCCACCCCCTGGCTCCATAATTATGTCTAGTGGTGGAAACAATTGCACTCTCTACTTGTCAGGACGCGTTACTCTGTGCTGCCTCCAATAAGCAATAAATTAATAAATAAATAAAACATATCTCTTCTTTTACTCAGTGTAACTCTGACCCACTTGAATATCTTGCACTAAAATCATTGTGTACTTGCTATCCTTGTTCAATTCCAGTTCAGAAAAACACTCATCTCAAAAACTACAAACATTCACTATTCAAACCCCTCAGTGACGGGGGACATCAACGTGGTTGTTAGCCAAATCCCTCAAAGATCCCAGATCTCTTTTCCAAGAGAGGCCTGAAGGCAACAAAAAAAAAGAAAAATAATACATGCATGTTTTGTTCTTTAGGAGGAAACCAAAGCACCTGAAGGAAACCCACACAAAATCTGAGGAGAACATGCAAACTCCAGACCCTGGACCCAAACTGGGTTTGGAACGCAGGGCCTTCTTGCTGTGCGGCAACACCAACCACTGATCCATTCGAGGAAACTGAAAACCACCATGAGACTCATGAACGCTGACAAACAGACAGATTTATTGATAGCGACACTGAACGTTGTCAAAATTGATCATTTTACTGAACAACTTCACAGTAATTAACCGCGGTGAGCTGTGAGGCTCTACGCCCTGCCAGTAAAACAGAGAGTTCACACAGTTCCTGTGTATCAGGAGTGGGATTGGTCAACAGCAACCTGTTCTTCCTGAAATGTCAGACGGCTCTACAAGTGATTTTAACAGACAGGTCTCCCCAAGAAAAGTTGTCCACTTGCGTGATACATTTTATATCCAGTCTATACAGATTAACAGATTAAAGCTGATGAATACACGAGATGAGAGGTTTTACAGTAAAAAGAAAAGTGTTGAAACAATAACTGCAGATGTTGATATGTTTGTGTTGACAGGGTCAGATGTTTGAGTCTGAGACTGCTGCCCCTCCACTGACACACTGCCCAGACTCCAGGGGTTGTCTTACCACAGAACAGGACACAGAGACACAGTGAGAGGCTGCTCAGCAGAGGTGTCATCCTCTTCAGCAGGTGTTGCTAACTCTGCACACGTTGGGCCAATGTCAGCGCCGCAGTGAAGCTCATCGGTCCAGGTAGTCTGATCCTAGATGTCGGGAAAAGACAAAGCACCGGGAGCTCTCATGCCTCGAGCTGTCAGATCATCTTCAGGGACGTTGGCGTTCTCAGAGTCCTTTCCAGAGAGACGTCCAGGTGGCGAAAGTCTATAAAACGTCTCGTCTGTGAAGGTAAACCACACAGCTGGCCGAGTAGAAAAAGAAGGAGCAGCTTAACCTGTGAGGGATACACCTGTTTGTGCTACACTTCACACTCCCTCTCTCTGTCATACACACACATTCAAACCAAAACTGACTTTTCCGGTTTGGCTGAGGCAACATGACAGTTATTTTCTCGTCTCTACTTGCTCGGCTGAACAGAGGAGCGGCAGGTGAATGAGCACAAACAGCTTATGCTCGGTCTAAGTCAGAAATGCAGGCGGCCAGAAGAGCCTCCTAGAAAGAAAGAAAGACATACTAGGGCCTGGAAAGCTCAGTCGGTAGAGCATCAGACTTTTAATCTGAGGGTCCAGGGTTCAAGTCCCTGTTCAGGCAAAGTGTACTTTTTGCAGGACACTCTTGTGAGTGAGTCCTCGTGGCTCATTGACGCTTACCTGTATAAATACAGGTTAAATGAAACAGACAGACAGATACATGTTTATAGAGAATAGGGTCTGGATAGCGCAGTCGGTAGAGCATCATACTCTTAAACTGAGGGTCCAGGGTTTAAGTCCCTGTTCAGGGAAAGTGCACTTTTTACAGGACTCTATTGTGAGTGAGTCCTCACAAATCATTTACACTTACCTGTATAAATACACATTAAATAAAACTGACAGAGCAACAAGTACATAAATATAGAGGATCGAGTCTGGATAGCTCATTCGGTAAAGCATCATACTTTTAATCTGAGGGTCCAGGGTTCAAGTCCCAGTTCAATAAAGTGCACTTTATACGGGACTCTATTGTGAGTGAGTTCTCATGGCTCATTTATACTTGTATAAAAACAGGTTAAATGAAACAGACAGACAGACATATACATATGTACAGTTGATAGAGACTGGATAGCTCAGTTGGTAGAGCATCAGACTCTTAATGTGAGTGTCCATGGTTCAATCCCTGTTCAGTCAAAGTGCACTTTTTTACAGGACTCTTGTGAGTGAGTCCTCATGGCTCATTGACACATACCTGTATAAATAAAGGTTAAATGAAACAGACAGAAAGACAGAAACATATATAGAGGATAGAACCTGGATTGCTCAGTCGGTAGAGCATCAGACTCAATCTGAGGGTCCCGAGTGTAGTGAACCAGGCCCCTGACCTCAACCTGTCTCTGAAGACCCTCAGGGGACAGGAACTGTTATTTCATTGATCTAAATCCAGAAATACAAATTATCTCATCAAGAGACTATTTAATTGTATCCTGAATTAATCAATTGAAAGAACACTCTTCCTTTTTACATTATCATTACTATTTTAGAATATCTTGATAATCAAAGTGTGTTTAGTTCATACCATTTCTAAATGTTGAAGTCAACCACTCATTTAAATCAACTGTGAAACAGTATTAATGATTTTTAAACCTCATTAGACTTAGAAATCAAGTTAAATGTCTATTTACAAAGTAATTGTGCATTTTGATCTTCTGTCTGAATGACTGGATTTGATGTCGGTCAGAAGTCACGGATGTCGGTCAAAGGTCAGAAAGCAAGTTATTAGAACGAAGTGTCTTGTTTTTAAACCTAGCAGACAGTAAATAACCTCAACTGGCATATGCGTTTGTCTCACTTCGCCATAACATTCCTCTGTCTGTACTAACCATTCGTAAACATTCCTGCTGTCTTTTTGACTCCTAATAACCCTCTGACATCACTAAAACACCGCCCCTGCTGGTTGTTTCAACCAATCAGGAAGTACCAATTGACAGGAAGTGAGTACTCTTTAAAAAGTCAACACTTCCTGGGATCATCCAGTGTTCCTTCAGTCTTCCTGCAGTTTTCCTCAGTCTTTTTAAAGTCTTTCTTGGGACTATGGAGTCTTCTTGCAGTCTTCTACTTCTGAGTGGAATCTCTGACTGGAGTCTTACTGAGAGTTCCTAAGGAACTTTCAGATTTAATCAATAGCTGATAGATTTGACCGTGAGACGGGGGTCCGTCCATCCCAGCGGAGTCACAGCGCCTCGCTGTGAACTCACCCGGGCGTAATGCCCTACAACTTCGAAGGAAGCTTGTTCTATTGAACGGAGTAAACCACACGACTTCTGACGATGACCAGCCTCTCTAACCGGAGACGCTGTAAAGGGATCGTACTAATGGACTTCTGTTCCGGAGTGGAAGTATCCCCCCATCTAAGGTAACAAAGTCTCTGCACGTCCTGAAGTGTACCGGAAGGTTGAGCTGGTGTTGAAAGAAGCGTGCTAATTCTGGTCAACAAACATACATCTTCCTTCATCCATCTTCCTTTTAAATCTATTCCTTCCCTTAAACTTTTTTATTTGCCAGTAATCCAGATGCCTTCAGAGGTGAATCAGCCTCAATCAGTAATGTTCTGTTGTCTTGTTAGTAAAGCGTGCCAAGTTTTTATTAATCAGAAACAGATTAGCAAATCAATGTGTACATGTCTTGATGTTAAATTTTGATTCTGTTAAATAAATGACCGCATTTATTCTGATGGCTCAAAGATAAAATGGCGTCTCATGTCACTGATTAAACAATCCTCACAGTTATCTCGGTCACATGGTAGAAATTTAACTCGAAAAAAAAAGAATCTGTTGTAATTAAATAATTAATATTCTTTGTGCTTGAACTAGCTTTAAGAATAATTAATTAGTAGTGTCTACAGCAAAGCTGTCCCTACATCACTACATTTTTGGTGGCCCATAAGGTTTCTAAAGAGATAAATTACGTGTGACCCGAGACCTGTGTTATTGTGAAATAACACGTCATGTTGGCATAAAAAAGTCTGAGTTTTGACCTTGGTACAGACATATTTTACGGTTGTGGGGTTTAGAAAGATGGAGAATTGCGTCAATGTGTTCATTTTAAAGCTGAAATTGTCAATCTGTTTGTGTAACTAAGCTGTAAGCAGTGAGAATAATGCATTCATTCTGTTTGAAACTCTAGCATGGACTGGGGGTTCTGCATGTTCGACCCGGTTCTGTTTAATGGACTCGTATGAGTCGTGTTTTAAATGGTGATACGTTGTCTGTGGACTGAGCGCCGTCTCAGAGCTGCTACTATGCTGATTCGTTACGTTTCACAGTAAATTGAGCATGTTTTTGAAGCTTGATGGGCGATAATTTGACTGGACTGTTGATGCTAACAGTCCAGCGAGTACACACGAGCTGTGATTGGTCGACAACCGCTGTTTGGGACGTTCTGATTCGCTGAGAAGCTAGTGGCGTAACGCTGTGTACGTCCACTCACTCAGCCACTTCCCCTAATAACCAAACTTCAACAAATCAAATCCCTCCTACAAGTCAATCCTCAGTTAATCACAGCTTCTCTTTTTCTCCATTCTCAGTCAGTGAGGTCAATAAACTGTTAAAAAATCTTGACCCTAAAAAATCTGCAGGTCCTGATGAACTTCCACCTTATTTCTTAAGGCTGGCTGCTCATATCATCACAGTCCCTGTGACCCATATCTTCAATCTCTCCATAAGACAAAACTCCATCCCAGACACTTGGAAAACAGCCTTTGTTCTTCCTTTGCTGAAGGGAGGTAACCCCACCTCACTGAACAACTATCGACCAATCTCTAAACTCTGTATTTTAGCCAAGGTTCTAGAAAAACTGATAAACTCTCAAATCAAAAATTACCTGGACTCATTTAACATCTTACCTCCACATCAATCTGGTTTCAGGAAACAACACAGCACAACCACTGCTTCACTGAAGGTTCTTAATGATGTTGTTGAAGCACTGGATGCTAAGGATTATTGTGCTGCACTTTTCTTAGACCTGTCTAAAGCTTTTGACACTGTGGATCAGAACATCTTGTGTCATAAACTCTCAGAAATCGGTTTCTCAGATCACACCATTGGTTGATCTCTAACTATCTTTCAGACCGGAGGCAATGTGTTCAACATAATGGTACTTCCTCCAGTTATTTAACAGTCAACAATGGCGTACCGCAAGGCTCAGTCTTAGGACCCACCCTCTTTACAATCTACATACATAATGTAGGTAAAAACATCCCTAATGCATCCATACATTTCTATGCTGATGACATAGTTGTTTATTGTCGAGCTAAAACTGTTGCTAAGGCTTTCCAGCTATTGAAATCTGCATTCAACATCATCCAGACTGATTTGTTTCGCCTCAAACTTGTCCTAAATGCCGACAAAACCAAAGGGATGCTTTTTTCAAATAGGAAGTTGGTCCCAGCATTTCTTCCTCCGATTTTATCCTCAAATGGTGTCCCCATTGAGTTTGTTGATTCCTATAAATATTTGGGTATCTTGGTCGACTCACATCTCTCTTTTAAGCTCCATGTGGAAAACTTGATAAAGAAACTGAAAGTTAAACTGGGTTTCTTTTTCAGAAACAGATCCTGTCTAACCCTGAATGCTAGAAAATGCCTTGTATCTGTGACTTTCCTTCCCTCAATTGATTATGGTGATATTATTTACATGAACGCTCCTACAAGAACCCTGCAGATGTTGGATGCTGTCTATCATGGTGCACTAAGATTCATAACTGGCTGTGATTATCGCACCCACCACTGCACCCTGTATTCACTGGTTAACTGGACATCATTAACTTCACGCAGACTCTCTTACTGGTATATTTTCATCTTTAAATCATTTCTTGGTCTGTTGCCTTCATACATCTCCTCCTACATGTCTCTGTGTGAGTGCAGCTACGGAGTGCGCTCTCAGGACATTATTACCTGCAGTGTTCCTACAATGAGGACTGAACTAGGCAAAAGGGCCTTCTCCTATTCCGCTCCTGTTTCCTAGAATATCTT